TGTGGGACAATTACAAAACAAATATTTTCCCGCAATTGCTTTTAATAGATATAAATGAGTCATATATTTGTATTGCTTGACGTTTTGAAATAAGACAATTTTCATGCAAGTAGCACTTTAAAGTACGGTAATACGAGCAGCAAAACCGTCTAACTTATCTCGCAACACCGCTGCAAACTAAGCCGGAAAGCAATGGTGTAAAAGGTCGTACTTTTTGCAAAACAATCCGTAGATATTGCGCGTGTCACCACAAGTACCCAACTTGCCTCGTAGGGCGACAATCAGCTTACTGCATTCGGCAATCAGAAATAACGCGGGATTTGCTCAACCTGCAACAAATTACTTTGATACGAGACAATTTGGCTTGCCAGTAGTAAAACGCGCAACATCGCTCGTTTTGCAGTAGGACTAAAAAGAGACTCCGAGAAACGTGGCTGCAGGATAAGAGATTTTGTAGGCAAATATGAGAAGTTTCACAAACGTCTGATGTAAAACTGAAGTCAACGAATAAACGTAATAAATGTGAGTAAATCCAAACCGCAATTTGCTGCAACAAAAATCAGTCTTGCTTACCTTAACAAATTTACCATCCCGTAAATTGATAATGTCTACGACTGCTTTATGCCGATATCCACCGTTAGTAAATTTTAACGTCCCAGTTGTGCCAATAGTATCAACCTGTATGTAACGACCAACAGAATGTTTTTCATGCTTTTACAATTAGCTTTTGAAATTAAAAGATGGGATTGGAAGAATGACCGTTATCCGTATTTCAATAAAACGTGCCCTCACTATTTGGTTTCGTCAATGTGCCAAGAGTAGTTTTAATATCATTACAGTGTGCAAATATTTGTGTATTGTCACGCCTCCATTTCGACAGAATTGTTGAATCATTTTCTATAGTTTTTTCCTTTATTTCTATATCATGTATAGTGCCATGCAGTCATCATATTCAAAGTTTTGATATAGCTTGAACATCGCATCAGAATCGTAGGCATCAAAAATTGTGTTTTGCTATGAAAATAGGAGTCGAAGTTTTCTGAATATTATAGCATACGCGTTGAAGTATTTTCTTTTTCTGCGAATCAACAATACTAATGAGTCTGTACCTTTTTTATGTATTCTAAMAGAAGGTCCCCATTTATAAATTGTGTCAAATTTCCTCCTGTTGTCAGTGCTTCCCATTTCCTGTCAACCARAATACCGTGAAGGGCATGCGCRAAGGCGAGGACGGCATCGAACACCAAATACGACGCAAACTAAAAATCATATTAAAAGAAATTAATGTATTCAAGTGTTTTATTCATAATTGCATTAGATTTCAACTGTAAGTAGCCTTATACATTAAGCTGGATTTGCTTGTATTTTGACAACTCTGTAAGGTTTGAACAGGTTTTACTAGTATTGAGTTTTTACCTATCGAATTGTTTTCTTGTCGCAAAAACAAATTACTTTAAGTGCCTACTAAGGCAAGATTAATCAAAACATATTAGCTAGAGTTGTAACATTTACTCAAATGTTCAGATCAATTTTGTGTGCTAATCTTCCTTTCTGTAATTAGTTTATTGCGCTTGAAAGAGAGGGTTTTAGTCAAGAGAGGTCTATTTGAAATATTAGTGACGGTCGATAAAAAATAATGAATAAATAACATGGAATAAAATTCAGTTATCAAATATTTACCCTTGTAGTTGAAGAGTTACTTGACAATGCTGTATGAAGAGAAGTGGTTTTGACGTTGTTGTACACACGTGGAGCAAAGCCAATAATTATTTGTGAAGAGTCGGCTTTCATATTGAACGATTTTACCTATTGCGTCATTAGAAACACAAAATAWCACTTGTGTTATAGAATGGTGATATCCATGACAAGCTTTCCTCGAGACAGATTTTGGAAAACCCTCAATCTTGATTAGTGAATCGATCGTTTCCATCGATCATTTTCACTATCATTAATTTATGRGCAGTTAATGAAAATCAACAACCATTTTTTTATGTGAATCGATGCTCTGCCAGGGGTATAGAATGGTGTCTTAGAAATCGCGAGCCTCGACAAAAATTTCCCAAGGTTCGTAAGCTCGGCGCTTAAAAGACAGGGGATAGGATTTAAAATCGCTTTTGGCTCGGAAGCTCGCAATTGGCGAGATATCGGACTCGTTCAGCCAAAGGTTCGGGCTCGAATTTTAAAATGAGGGGTTCACAGGCTCGACGAGGCTCGGATATTCTGCTTTAGGATTATTTCTAGATGAAAAGACAAAACAAAAAATAAAAAAATCCGCTGTTTTACTGGTGAGCTATTACTTACTGGATCAGCAAGAAGCCATCGATGAGATCGACTAGGTGCATAATTAAACATTGGAAAAACCTAAAAAATATAGCTAAAAATGAATTACATGTTTACTTCCTGATGTATTTATGCGTTTTCAATTATACTTTCTTCCAAGGAAAACGTTTTAGAAATCAAAATACCTGCTCTATGATCCTCTCAGCAAACACAGCATCGCACAAGAGCACTATAGCCTCTGCCGGGTCATTTTTGAGGAACAGAATCTTTTTCTGTGTTGTCGTGTCGATGAGTCCTGCTCTATCGAGGATCATATCGACCGTAAGGTAATGGTTACTAGACGGAAGGCTGGATAAGAACTTCGTAACATGTTCACGCCATCGAACTATAAAGAAAATAACAGTTTCAGTCGGACCTTTTGTAAAAATCCAGGAAAAGCTGAAAGTTTTAGGTAGAATAGGATGAATGAGATACCGAATATTTTTAAAATCATCTAGAGCGGTACMCTTAGTTTGCCCTCCAAAAATCTGTAAATATTTTTTTTCTTGGTCTATTGTATTTGTAATCCGCTGTGTATATGTTCGTATATGTATGTAAAAGTGTATATAAAAAAAGAGAGAGATACCGAATATATTCTTTCTAGTTGATATTCAACATTGAATAGAATAGGAGATTACGTGAGAGCAATATTTCGGTTTTATTGCAAAACAAATAATAAAAAAAATCAGCTGTACATGTTTTACTGGTGAGCTATTACTTTTGACAAAATGACCCTCGCATATTATAGCATATATTTCGTCATCCCAATGAACCCTTAAATTTTTCGGATTATCCTCTATTTATTAGGAGCTCAAATGTATATCCAATCTGGCAAAGTTATAATGTAAATATATATAGATATATATCACTTAGAAGGAATGGAATGGAATGTTCTTTGCAGGGCAGGGAGTCGTGCGATGAACGCTTTCAAATAACTTTTGACTGGAAACTTGTCGTTTTCAAGTGCTTGTTAGAGATGGCAATTTGATTGGAAAAATACATCCATTTGAATAAATGGTTTTGTTGTTTATGTGTTTTTTACCATCATAGAGGACGACCAAGTTTATCCACTTGTACTTCACTATAAGATCAACCATGGCTGAGATGGTACTGGGGCCAACAGAGATCTCGTAGTGCCCCAAAGAACTGTTTTGAGGGGTTGCTCTAAAAGGCTCCGTGCTTAGGAATGGCATATGTAGGATGGAGCCCAAAGCATCATGGGATTTATCAGGTTTGGAGTCAAAAATAAGCGTTGATATTTTATTCTTTGATATATTGACGGCTAAAACGAAAAGAAACATTATTCAATAGATATTAGTCTTATAAATTAGCTAAATATAATTCAAAAGTGCTCGACGATTACAGGCAGAGAGTTACTCTTTAAAGGGACATGGTCCACTAGCATGCAATGCGATCGTGTTTTAGATTTTTCATATATGGAAAATGAGGTGACCTCGAATATCCATTTACAATCCGTTTCCATCAATCGGTTTAACGGTCGGGTCTTAAAGCATCTCCATTCATATAGGATAAAGGAATAATAAGATAGTAAGTTTTTGCCTATATTACGGTGTATTTCTATTTTCAAACATAAACAAAAGCTCGAAAGGGATGCTGGTGGACCATGTCCCTTTAAGGTATGAATGTCAAAATAACAATACAATGGCTTCTAGATATATAAGCATCAAAAAKTGTCTTGCTGCTTTGGATAGGGTCAATGACAATATATATTTACCGCTCTCAATCAGATTTGACTCGGTAAAAGTTGTCTCAACAAAGTGCAATGTTGTATTGGGCAAAAGCAATACGTYGCCGTTAACATGGTTGATCGCTGACAGAATGGCCTGYCTTTCTTGGGAATGAAGCATTGCTGTAAAATATATGGCAAAGATCTTAATGGGAATGGTATTGCTAATGTTTGTGATAATGGYGATAATGATATTCAAGGATCACATYAAAYTAGAYTTAGGCACATACCAMAAATCAATATAATTCAGACCTTGTATTGTAACTTACATATATAAACTTCGCCAGGGATCGCTGCTGCTGTCTGTGTCAATACATTACACAACATCAAACAAACAGTAACGATCTTGCCCATGTTCAATTTACACAGACTCTGCAAATATTAAAATACAACAGAAATACCTTAAACATTTGCTAAAGTAAAGTAGACAAGAACATACTAGTATACGCTCATGACGAAATGTCATGATTAAAAGGCATTGTGGTGGTCCATGCGTTGGCGTCCTCATATGAAATCGTACGTCTATAGGAAGTCGTCTTTGTGCATGTTGTTAAAATCGGCGATATCTATTTTCAATTGGTATTTCGAYTTATTGATCATAACTTATGTATATAGAATTAAGATTATAAAATTGTATGTTGGTTCACKTTTTTTCTCGTGTTTATTCTATTGAATGAGTAAATTTTTATGAACTTTAAAACACAAAAAGAGAATGAAAAACAAAAAAGATATACATAGATATACAAAAGATTGGAAATGAAAACTAAAATGCAAAATTGAATAAACACCAAGCAACGAATTGACAATATATTCATAGTATCTATATGGTTGAGATGTCAGAGGAAAGCCAACGCTAAATTGTAAAATTGGATCGAGCTTTACCTTAYACAAAACTCAAAGTATCTCATATTATCTTAATGATAACATTAAACATAGAGAACAAAAATAGAAAGGTAAAAATCTAATGGCAAAAAAAAAAATTATGCAGAAATGAAATTGTTTGATTATTAGAAAAAAAAAATTAATTTGATACTAACAGTGATCGTGAAAACTTGAATATGCTGAAGAAAAAAAAAAGTAATTCGATTCAATTGAGATTTCAGCACGAGTGAACTTTTAMAGAGGTTGGATACCGAGTACATATTTTTATTGAATAGCTCACCGTTTTGTACAAAGGTTCAACGGTAAACTGTTCCAATAAAAAACTTTTACCTTTTGCTTTGTCCTGGGTTTTCTTGGATCTTTTTCTTGATTTATTACACAAGTTTCTAAACAACTTAGACTAAATTCAACTACATTCAGTTTCAATTATTGCTTATACGAAACAAAATTAACAGAGCAATATTTCTTCTGAAATATTAATGATTTTAATTCTTATGAATGAAACTTGGCCTGTMGATTAATACAAAGACAGTTTGTATCAAAAAGAATACCGACTTGCCGAAAACAGATGGCGTTTAGTCACCGACGTCACTTTCATTGAATCAATAAATCAATCTGTGTGAATCAAAGTTTTTTTTCCAAAAATAAACTAGTCTATAATAAAAGAATTACATTCCGTAATGCATGGCTGCGAATACTCATATATTCCATTTTTAGCTGATTTTTTTTTCAACTCATTTCTCAACACCCATACTTAAATATAGAGTACCTAAGTGTGACGTCACACACCTTTTCGGATTGTTCGGATTCGTTCATGAATTATCCTTATAAAGGACATGGGAAAAATTAGCGGTCTAAGAAATTTCAGTGTCCCAGTTCCATTTATTAGGACGGCGATATAAGCGATTTTATTGTTGGTTGACCACATTCAAACTTATAAATTTACCCTGGTTCCTTTCGTGTGTATGAACCAGTGTTCGTATTTTGGTTACCCAACTATATATTCGCTATCTCCTCTACAAATTGAACAAATCTAGCGAAAATGCATTGAAATAGGCGATTGTATTATGGCGTCATTAACTACAACTTTAGTATGCTTTGTACATTTAACTTTCTGCTGCACTGCAATTAGTGCGTTTGTTTTACTAATCTCAAAAGGGATTAAAAAAATCTGAATAACAATGGAATGGGAAAGGCTTCCTAGTAGTTGTAGTAAAGTTACGCTATATTGCAAATGGCCTATCGACGCACTACATAATTAAGAAWATGGGGTCTAATTTTAAAAACTCAATATTTTCGTTTTGTAAGGTCATCACTTCGGTGCTCAATTATTGCGCACTCTCCGAAAAGGTTAAAAGTCGATTCATTTGAGCGAAAWCTATTGACGACCTCTCTATATTTTTCTGTAAAAGATATTAAAAATACACCGTAAATCTTCGGATTTTCATGGCAAATGACTAGGATTTTAGACAGATTCTAAGGGAAGCGTATATAAATTATATAACATGGGCGCGTGGAGATACGGATTTTATCTTCAGATATTCAACACTTGTACAGTGATATGAAGTTCGAGTAGGCCCTGTTTAAACATAGTTTGATCTTTCGGCGCGTCTAATTTGGTTGCTTGTATATGCATTTTTGCCGGGAAGTTTGCAGTTTAAATCAAATTACAACATAAGAAAATCTACAAAAGTCATACACCTACTTGCAGAAACGTTGTCATACAAAATAGAACATTCGAATTTAGTAAAAAGGAATTAATTAAAACAAGACAAAAGAAAGCGTTCAGCCTTAGTGATCTTCTTTTGTCTTTTTAATTTATTCCTTTTTACTAAAATACAAATGTCCTATTTTTTATGACAACGTTTTCGCAAGTAGGTGTATATTCAAATTACAAAATTCTCAAAAAGTTATCCTTCTTTTTGCATAACCTTTACGAGCAAAATATAACCAACAAGTTTACTCCGCTTTGTGATCTTTATTTATTTTTGTCATATTGGGTGTGTACAAATTAACGTGCGATTGATTTAAGTTCGAGTTAATATGATAATATGAAGACAACCTGGTTAAGAATAAAAAGTAATAATTAAATAAACAAAAAAGAACACAGATAACCAGATTTTGTGAAAAAAAAATATAGAATAAAAATAAAGTTGTCTCAGTGATCTTAGATAACAATGCATTATAAGATTAAGAGTCGAAAAAAATGTTTATAATTTTTGCTTGCAGTAGTGGCTTCACTCGGCTTCATCTTTCTGAAATGTAACAAAATAGGTGATTGATTTATATTTATATTTAGGCATTCGCATGCAGTATTTCAATGCACTTGTGATACAAGTACACCCAGTCCCTCAGAACCTAGTAAATAGTATTGTTCTCTGCTAATCCCCTGCCCGCTAAAAGCATCGCTGGTAATGTCAATGTTAATTGGATTTCGCGTATCACGGTCAAGAAAACAAAGATGAAAACATGTCTTATGGTCTTCCACAAAAGGGTTAGATCGGTGATCTATCTGGTAGTTTCACTGACCTCTTTTTCTTCTTTCCTAAAACAGCAGGGCAGGGCAGCCTTGATTGCCTCTCCCTTAGCACTCCACAGCACTTCGAATAACATGGATATTATACCAAGCAAACAGCCGGCAGCTACCAACATGTACAATCCAACCATGTGTTCAAGGCCAAGTCTTTCTGTAGGCTTCTCTGCAATAGTGATATCAAAGTCATATTATCATATACTCTAATGAATTCAATGAAGACTTTCGTTTGATAAAATAGAAAATTTTGCATATTTATGTTAAAGAGATATTGTATTTCCTGATAAACTGTACGTTCAAAGAAGTTAAAAGTAAGCAAGCAAGCAAGCAAGCAAGATACTTTATTTTATGTCTTTCAAGATCGTTAATATGATTGCCAATGTATCTGATCTAATGATTGACAATAACACTAATAATGCATGATACAAAATTGATATTCAAAATGAACTCTCTTTCACACCACTAAACCAATACGTACTTTCRTGACTTTCGTGGCACTGACTTCGATAATTCCACCATTTTCGCTTCAAATCTTCAATTGCGCCTGTTTCTCTGAGCTTCATCGCGGCAACAGTGATATTTGATGCGTAGGGAAATTCCTTATTCATTGCAAATCCATATCCCTTGACTCCCATGAAACCCTTTACTGAAGCACAAATCGTAGAAAAGGTGTTAAAATCGCAAACCCATAAAAGTTTAAAACGTCTAAACACTGCCCCCGGACACATTCATAATAAACTAAGTGTTTTATTTTTGATGCTATATCTGGTACTAAGGATACTATTAAAAACTAGTACTGGTGCTACAAATCAGAAAAATCACCACTTTTCTCGATTTTTAGACATTTCTTTAAAGTGCAACTCAACCCTTCTAGAAAGTCATTTCATTCGAAAGAGAACATGCTGCTAAGCACTTCYGCAAAGTGARAAAACATTCAAATTTATTTCTTCTGATTTAGAAATATTTGAAAATTGGAAATGCAAATTAAGTGACGTCTACTAAGGAATGATTTAATRTGCAAAATTACRAAAAAAATGCATTACTCTTTTTTTATATCGGAGATGACATTTCCAGTTCTTGAGTATCACTGTTATTRAATGATGATTTGACCATTTCAACCGAACAAAAGATATCGCAAACACTTCATTAGTATTTTCAATTTTCAAATGCCTTTAACTCAGAAAATAGAATTCAAACAACTTTTTTTTCTTCAAGACAATGATTAGCATCATATTTGCCTTTTTTAATGATTTTCTAAAAGGATTCAGTTGCACTTTAAAGCGTTATAGACTGCACTGAGTTTAAAAGAATTTTTCTTGTGGTTTAACGTTTCAATCCGTTTCTGTAAAAAGAAAACAAAACCTAAAGGCATAAAAAAGTTTAACTGAACAAATAAGGGCGACTTCAGCGCCATTTAACCAGCAACTCAAAAGCAACCATGGATATGATGGGTAATTAATTTACCTGTCATCAAATCACAAGGCTTGGTATGTATGAAAGATTCTGCATAAGGATGCTCTTCCAACATGAGGTGTTTGGAGTTGGCTCGYACGGCTCTAACGCCTTCATCAAATGATTTCACAAATGAATTGTCAGAAACAATTTTTTGGTATAGATTCCTAATAGTGTGGAGATAAAAAKCAATTTTAAAGAGAGAATGACGACTAGCATTTTTGCTTTACCACTTTCTCATTAGATTCGTCTTGCTGTATTTGTCATGTTATTCTTCGATCTTCTATCACTTCTACTTCTTGCTTCTCTTTCACAGTTCTGCCTTCTCTCTTTTCTTATTTTATAATCCACCTTTCTTTCTTCCTTAATTTGTGCAAARCAACTATTATAATGCTACCTTTCATTCATCCTTTACTCTTTCACTTCCTTTTCCCACTTCCAGACTTCTTCCTTTTCTCGCCGTCTCTCCTATCTACCAAACCTTAAGTTMATTCTTTCAAATTCTTACTTGTAGGTTGAGAAGTTCGATGTCCTCAACGTTTCTTCTAATGGCGTACCAGCGAAGACAAACAATTTGTAGTCCCGTTTTATGATATCTTCTAGACTGTTCACGCCAAGCGTCGTGTCACGAAACGAGAAGAAAGCTGCAAGGTTCGCAGTGTATGTAGATACCCATATAAGTATACAAAACCAAAAACATCCGACAACGATTCGACCTCRGAGAAAACAATAGTAAAAACTTAACGTCTCCATATGATAAGAATTTCAAGAATCATTATCGTACAAAGATCCTTCTCAGCTTCTCAACGAAAAAATCCAAGGTTCTAAGTTTGGTGACGAATGAGGCTTTTATTTGATTTGATTAGATGGCAAATTTAATCCATGTTGCATCAGTATGCAGACAACCCAGATTCTAGGTCTTCAGGTATCCTTTCAAACCAAAGCTTTCGATTTTCTTTTTGGAAACTAAGAAAGATCTGAGTACGAGAATATATCTGTTGATGGGATTATCCAAAAGGTAATCTTTTTTTGTGAATTAAAATACTTTTTCATGTTAAAGATGCCTTTTTAACGAGGAAAACATTCACTTAACCCAAATTGTGTAGCTTTCTTTGTGTTTAGTGGAATTGCATTTTTCCACTTTCTTCATCAGTAATTTTTGCAAAAAGAGATGCCATTTTGCCGAGAATAAATATTCTGAGGTTGATCAGTGAATATGGTCTCATATACCGAGATAGCCAGCCAATCAGAGCGCGCGTTCTTATAAGGTTGTGAATCATGTAAATACTAAAGTGCGATGTCAGACATGGTTAAACGATGTATGTGTCGTGCTAACAATGAGCATAAGTGCATTTATTGATAAATACCTGACAACGATTTAGGAGTATTGTCAGCACCTTGACACAGCATCGACGCAAGAGAAAACCAAAAACTATTGAATAAGCTGAACTCATCACCAGTGCCATCATTATCACCATGCCTGTCATTCGATCAAATTATTCATCATTACATGAATCATTAAAAAATCTAAGGACCAAATGCAATGAAACTGGGACTTCAGAAAGGTTCTTCTTGGCATTCCTTATATTTGGAACAATCAACAAGTTTAGCTACTAAATTTGGAACTGATATAAAGGTCCAGTGCTGGGCMTACCCCWGTTTTTGTCGGACTACATTTTTTGTCAAAAATTAAGAGTCGATAATTTTTGTTAAGTGWGTGAAAAATTCTCTTTATTGCTTGCCTCATTCAGGCCTCCTCGGTCAAAGTYGTGTTTCGAAAATCACACATACTTGCTGGATACTCTATAGTCGACAGTAACAAGCTTTGGCTTCTGGTTGGGCTGGGGATTTCTGAGCGAGCGTTTTGCTTCAATTTAGCTGATTCATTATATTTTTTCCCAACCATTTTTTTSCAAGATTGAATGCTTTATCTTTCTTACTGGGCAAATGCTCTAACATTTTAAATKGCTTGATTTTATGCATATTCAAGAGTTTAAATATCTATATACTTGCTAGTTTATGTCTGATCATATGAATAAATATC